AATAGCGATGGCCTCCAACCTACTAGTGATGGCCTCCCAGTAGCGATCCAGTAGCGATGGCCTCCAACCTACCTGCCTCGCCTCCGGGTCACCCTCCTCCTCCGCGGCGGCCATGGCGGCCATGACGGCCACGGCGACAGTTGCCTCGTCGGAGGTCGCCGTCGTCGACTTCGTCGCTTCATCAGACGTCACTTGACAGACCGAGCGTCTTTAGTCGTTCCTAGACATTCACGGAGCTCACAAAGTGCGTGCTTGGAATTCATGGCAGTTTTTGTCAGCAAACAAACCCTTTCCACAACCATCCAGTAACAGTAACAATACCGGACCACTTTATCCAACCAGAACTGGATGGCGTGCCATGCAATAATCGCCCTGTTCACTGCACTCCAAAAGTTGTGGACATTCCAATCCTAGGATAAAACTGCAGACTACGACTCGTACCCAGGTCAGTTGCGCCGCATTCGGCACCACTAGCATAATTCATTGAATAGGGGGAGCTTGATTAGTGGGGGAGCCCTAATCAAGCCATATTCATTGTTCAGTGACGAATCCATATGCCATAATTGGCATATAGGTGAGCACACTGACCTCCTACTGTATCACACCTATCACATTATGGGAATGCCAAGTAGGGCTCAGTGTTAAGGCCTCCCTAATGGGATTCAGGATGTTCTTCCTAGCTATCGAGGCTGCAAGATGCTGCCTGAGAATACGATGTTTGGGTGCAGGATTTCACCAGGAAACCAGGAAGCACCGCTGGCTGTCATTGAGAAGTCATCTCAGCTCAGATTGCCCAGCTATCCAAATCATGTCCAATATGGGTCCACCAGTAGCCTAGCCTGACCGGTGGACGATCTCAGGATATACGCACGTTTTTTCATTTGGGCATTCAACATGTTTTCAGAGAAAATACCGTGCTCTGCGGCTATTCCAAAATTATGCAAGAAAGAGTCACACATCGGCACGAAACGGCCTCCTAAAATGTGGATGCTGTTGAGCCGTCAAATTCACGAATTGAAACTGGCTGTTCTTCTGTCATGCCACGCTGCTGGGGCATGAGACATCAGACTCATGCTCACCAATTACAGAATTCAATATACACAATCAAGAAAACGTGCTGTGCTTCGACACCTTCTGGGAAGTCGAAGACTAGTCGAGTGTCTGGGCTCGGAGAACCTTGGCTCAAAGCGTTGGCCTCTCGAAAGCAAGCGGCGCTGCAGGTAGACTGCAGCCTCTAAGGAGGGAGCAATCCCAACTCTAAAAAGACGGGTGTCTGCTTATTCATTCGCACTTGAGTCACACATGCCGAATCTGGCACAGGTGTTGACAAGCATGTTGTGAAGAGTCAACACTAGCATTTGCAGACAAAAAGGGTCTTTTTTCATGCTGTGCATAAGGGAATAAAATCTCATGTTGTTGTGAGGGAAATCGTAGGTTAGGCACCTGTTTATCTAGCAGTAGCCAGTAGCGGTATTTCAAAATGGATCCCTCATCAATCTTGTCGTTCTGAGGGTCCAATTCATGAAACACCTTTCTCCAATCCAAGGAAACTGGCCGCCACTGTTGTATGCTAGCTGAAAATTGCAACTCAAACACTCAAAACCGCGGGCAGTGGCAGCTGGAATCCCTGGCTATGGGTATGGTAGATCTGAACAAAAACGTCTTAGGACGATCTTGTACAGAGTCTGATGGAAGATCTTCCGCGACACTTGGGATGTTGCCACTCAGGCGCTGGGAGATTGCAAAGAAACTCTAGGCCGTCATTACGCAGCTGAAGTTTCCCAAGTTTTTTGCTGCCTGTTGATTCACATGTACGAGGCTGCAAGCCTGCCGTGATGGTCCCTGAGGTTGCGATCCGCACCAAATTTCAAGAGGAGCAACACGATCTCCCAGTTGCCTTCTTGGACTGCGGTGTGCAAGGGATAAGAACGCCTGAAGCCCAGCCACGAAACCTTTGGGGAGTTGACATCACTGAAGTCATGGGAGTCGAGGAAGTGTTTCGTCTTCCGCCAGGCCGTTCCCTTGGCGCACAAGAGCCAAGGATTCTCACTATATATTTTTGCGTTTGATCTCCTGGATGACCCAAGAACTACAAGTCTGCGGAGCTCAGCATGCCCTCTGAAAATACAATAACAACCCTAGTGAGTTATGTCTGTACACACAATATTATATCATATTATATATATATATATACACCGTAGTTAAAAAAGTCTTTTCGACCATCTCTGCACCAAGTCTCCAGCCATGCTTTCCGCTTTCGCTCCTTCCGGTCTGTGTGTGTGTGAAACCCTCGGAATCACTGAGAATCTTCTGACTTTAACCATTAGCAGGGGGACTGGCTGATACTGCCCGTCCAACGAAGAGGGGTATGAGCTGGTGTTGATACAGCGGGGACGCTCCACTGCGTACCTGCGTTTTACCTTTCACCTGCGTTTTACCTTTCACTTCCTACTGGGCCCTGCTTGTAACTAGAACAAGACTTCTCTTTTGGCTTCGGTTCTGCACTAAAATGCTAATGAGTTTGACCGACTTGCTGTTGCACCTTGTCGCATTCAGAGGTTTCATACCCCCCGAAGTCTTAGGTTTTTCACTCAGGTTGGCGTGTGGCAAACCGCGACTCGTGTCAGTACGCAATATCTCGAGTGTGTGCTTCCACCTGTTTGAATAGGTTCAGCCCAAACCCTGCGCAGCCTGGACACCTGCAAACACTTCGAAGTTTACAGAAGACACAAAGTCTCGAACAAACCAGGTACAAGGCGTTGCAAATATAGCATTCGTTGGCTGTGAATTTTTGAATGGGCGAACTATTTCCAGGTGAAGACCTGCTGTACTGCCCCACAGAACCGCACACTACCAAGGCAGTGCAAAGTTGAGCCATCAGCATCGAAGATCGGTCCTCTCTCTTCTGCTGCATCTGCATATTCGACTTGGCCTTTTTCTGACGAAGTCCCTCCACAAGCTGCAGCGAGCACACCAGGTCGCCCGGCTCCATCAGCCTGGATCTGCCGCTCACCTCTGGACAGCTGCGACTAGCAGATTTCGCACCCCTGCGGGGTTGAGCTAGCAGCTTAAGTAACTACCACGGAGTTGCCAGAGAGGCAGAAGGGCGAAGGGTTCTTTGCATGATTGATTTGGTTCCTGGATCTTTAGGAAAACTTGGACTCCGTTGCATCATACATCCTTGACTAGCCACTGTTACACTGCAGCATACTCAAGTTGTTACCTAAGCCCTGCCGGCCAACGTGTGCTAATCCATTGCTGGCAGGTTTTTTCCGAGGCAGGACTACAGCACAGGGTCCTGGCCTCCTCCCACCAGCAGAAGGTTGGCATGAGGCTTCAGCTAGCTGAGACCAAGGCAGCTTGAGCAAAGCTCTCCGGTTCACACAAGATGTCGCGCCAAATGCCATGTCCAAGCACGATCAAACTCTTTGGCGCTCAACCCTTGAAGAATCCTTATATACTATAAAACAAAGTCTTGTCTGTGCCAAGTGCATCGCATGATCAACCCTGAATGTCAAGGCGAAAAAAGTTAAGATCGGCATCCGCTGGAGAAACACATGTCTGTGCCGAAGCAGAAATATAGGGAACCACTTTTTTCAGTTGGTGACTCCGCTGCCAGAGCTCCTACCCACCTGAATTGTACATCGCTGTGGCTTGAATGCCAGCATTGGTGTGAAGCCCATCCAAGTCTCGCTGTTGAATCCCAGGAAGTTGTCAAGGTTCACCCGCCAAACCCTCTGAGAGCTTGACCTGGAATTAGTAATTAATAACAAACAACAGTCTGAATCTTTCTCACTGGGTTTCTTCCAGCTATTCTAGCAAGAAATAACATGAAATAACGAGATATGGTGCCTCAGGTGAACCTCCTTAACAGCAAAAAAACACCGTTAGAAGACCTCTCGGGAACGTGAGACACATTCGATTGGCAGGGCCCGAAGGACGGTGCCTTCAAAGTGCCCATGGCCCTTTAAACACCAAAGAAGAGGATCACAGGCAAAGCATTCGATGGACAATCGACTCGATGACGCGAAAGAAAAACAAAGAACAGTGCCAGAATGCCATAGGTGTTTTGATCCGCAGCTCTTTCAGACATATCACAGGTCAGTGAGGGATGAGGCTGATGGTGTGAGGCTATTTACTATATATTTATGGTCAAACTTTTGGGGGACTGCACTGAATGTGGCTTGGAATATAAGTCCTGATTAATCTTGGACAGGCACATTGTTGTATGCTTGAGCCGAGTCAGGCACGTGTTACATGGCATCGGGACAGTACCCCAGCCCATGCAAGCTGACAAATTCGCGGGATTCGAGGGAGTTCGGTTAAATGACCTTCAGTTCACCTTGCTTGAGATGGCAGGGGGGACCCTCCACATGGCAAACCCAAAGGTCCGTTTAACAGCATGTGAACGCCATATCAAATCGGCAAAATGTGGATGTAGCTGGTTTGCGATCCCCAATGCACACCTCCTGCGCCCGAAATCGCTGGGTACAAATGGTCAGGTCTTCAACTTGGAGCAAGTTGTGGAGAGTTTCAGCAGAGTGACCCTTGCGACTGTCAGTGGAAATTATTTGTTTATGAATCAGGGAACAGATTTCTTATCAACATCTTCTTCGCAGCCTCCCAACAATCCCCACCAATCACCTTGACGCTGCGCTGTTTCCGCGGTAACTAAACGCCCCCGGAGTCGCTGGAGCTGTCGCCTCAAATGTGACAACCAAGTTAGCAATGTAGCAAACATCCCCTGTCGGTCTGTCTGCCCATTTGTCCATCTGCAAGATCCAAAGATCCGTACCAAATTTTGGTAACGCAAAGAAGCAGGATCTCTCTACATTATCAAAGGAAGTTTAGTGTGCAAAACTTCCGTGTTACGGACATTCAACAGCTGTTCAACCACCACTCATCATACACCACTCATCATACACCACTCATCATACACCA